GGGCGCCTGGGGAAACCGGCCTGCCCGCGGGTTTCGCTTACTGGGATAAATATTTATGTGTTCTAATAGCTGGTAAATCTCTGGACAATAATAGGCTAGCTCAAATCTTTTGGGTGCCTTACGGTTCATTATATTATATCCTGGAGAGAAGACGACTCCGGGGAGACCTTAGAGCCCCTTCCAGTCCCTAAGGGGGAGACAGAGGAAAACTGCGGAGGGACTTTTTACAAGGGGATGTAGTGATAGGATGAGGTGGAATGGCTTCAGACTGGAAGAGGGGAGATTTAGATGAGATACCAAGAAGAAATAGTTGCCTGTGCGGGTGGTGATCCCCTGGGGCAGGTTGCCCTGAGAAGCTGTGGCTGCCCCATCCCTGGAGGTGTTCAAGGCCAGGTTGGACGGGGCTTGGAGCAACCTGGGCTGGGGGGAGGTGGCCCTGCCCAGGGCAGGGGGTGAAACTCGATGATCTTTAAGGTCCCTTCCAACTCTAACCATTCTGTGATTGCTATCCGTTGGGTATCAAAACGTTAGTCTGTGGGCAGGAGCCACAAGGTGCTGGGCTGTTGTGGCCCTGGCAGCCCTGGCCTGGAGAAGGGCTGCAGCTGCTCAGTCGGGCTGTGAAAGGTTCATAGAGCAGGAGAGGGTGTGAGTGAGCCTTGAAACGCCTTGGTACTGCCCGCTTGGGTTTTTTCCTAGGTGTTTTCCATTAGTGCATATTTAGAAACACCAGTGTTGTATGCAATAAATGCAAGCTAAATAATATATGCTGAGATAAATTATTTAAAGCTGTTGCGTGTAGTTATTTGATATTCTTATTTGGTTATTTAGCCCGAGTAATGTAAAATCTTTGGGAATTAAGTTGTTCCGTTAGGTGGTTGTCTGTGCTGGGTGTGCACCAGCTCGGTGCCTGCTGCCGTCACAGCTCCCTGGGTTGTGGGGCATTCCTCTGGTACTAGGCAGGGCTGATCCTGTTGGCCATGACTTTCAGTTACTGGAAGAGTTTGCGGTATGCCAGGGTTCCCTGTGGGTGTTCCGGAACACTTTCAGCTGGATACGAACTGTCAAACAGACCTTTTGATTCTAGTGTAAACGTTGTGTGCAGAGGTGATCCAGTACTGCTTTGTTTTTTTATCTCCCCCTGATCTGAAGACAGGTAGATTTGGGGGGAATTATTTTTTAAGCTGGAATACATCTTTCGAGTCAGCTAGACGGGGTGAACATCTGTCCAACATCAGAATAAGTTTATGTCATGAATCATTGCATGTTTAAAAACAATTGCATTAGCTTTCTCAAATTTTAGAGCTGTAAACATCCTTTAAACTATTTTTTTCAAGTGTTGGGCCTGCTGTCTGCATAACACTCCTCTTATGCCTTGATTTTATAATCTTGACGGAGATAAGCTCCGAATGGTACCAGCTGTCGTAATTGTGCAGATCTCTTCTGTATGTTGCACTGGTAAAGACATAGTGATACTGCTTTGATGCTTTTTTTCTTAATGTATAAATTATTTTTACTCTTAAAATCAATATTGAACGCGCATCTCCAACACTCACAAAAGAAGCCGGCTTTTGATGCAGGCTTTCTAGAGTGGCCCACGATGTGGGGAAAAACTGGTCATTAACAAAATAAACTGCTTGTCTTACACAAGCATCCTCTTTTCCTGTAGAACACAAACAGTATAGTGCTCTGTGTAGTCACATCGCATTCGTGTGACTTTTGAGTGGCATGAACTGTTCATTTTTATAAAAAGTTAGCATATAAGGTTACAAAACTATGAACTGTTTACCGTAAGGGAAAGAAATTGTATTTATATGATTGCCAGATGATGTATACAGTTGGAGAATCAAAATAATTACGTTTAAAAAACAGTTTTTGGACAACTTGCAGAGCAGACCATGTGTACCTTTTAACACTACACCAAAGGTACTTGGCTTAGTGAACTCCTAGGAAAACATGAACTGTTATTTCACACATGAAAGCTGCTGAAGATCTCTTAAAACCCAAACTATTCTATGAATCTATGAAGATAGGGCATAGATAATTTTTCTTTCTGTAATTTTTTTTCCTCCCAACTTTATTATTGATGGCTTATTGATATATTTGTTGAAGTGAAAGCAAGTGGTCTGTGTGTTCTCTTTTTCAGGCTTTCAGTGGGAAAGAATTCTGGAGATACAGAGTGGGGTGGGGACTGTTGTTTTTTTTTTTGAATGCTAAACTTATTTGCTCTCACCTCCTCTGAGGAGAACTGGGGAGAAATAAGAGTGGCAGTTGCTTCAGTGCATTTGAGGATGATGGTCTCACACTGTTCTCCGTCCAAAATAGATTCACAGCTAAGAGCTATTGTATTCTACCTGGGTATTGTATTACTTAGAATCCGTTAGTCATTAGCTCAGATGTGGAGAAGGTTCAGCTGAGTGCATTATGCCCAGGCTTTGGGTGGCGCAGGCCAAGCGCTGTTTGGCAGAGCAGCACGCAGCCGGGTTAGGCTGGACGGGCGTTTGCAGAGGAGGGCAGGGCTGGGCAGCACCATTTGGCAAGAAGATCAAAATGAAGGGTGGGAGGAAGATGGAGTCTGTCCTGAGGGGCAGGAGGAACCGCTGACATCCGAGTTGTATGTGGGAGTGAGTGACAGCGTGTCAGGGGCTAGCCTAAACATTTTTTGTGGCCCTCTGATGCTGGTTAATTTATATAGACGTTGTTAATATGGAGTGATAGTAATTCTTTGCTTTGCAAAGTTATCACATAAGCCAGTTCAGCTAGGCATTGAGGATACATTTTAACATATATTTATTTTGCAAAGAAGTTACTGATTTGTACAAAGTAGGAGAATTGAATAAATTTGAACATAATTCTGTATTTGGAATAAACTTCCACTAGACTCATACAGGAAAACTGTATTCATTCAGTTTTATACCTTGGTAGCTACTTGTAGATAGTTTTTTAGAAAAACCACAATGATTTGTACGTGCAGATGTTCTAACGCATGGCTGTAATGTGTTTTTAATTGTGAATTAGGCTCAAGAGTGAAGCAGATCTAGTTGATGAAGGTCTGTGGTGAAATACATGGACACCTGAAGCACTTGGGAGACTCTTGACTGAAAATTCACGCCCAAGTTCTACTTGAATCTTCACTGCGTGAATACTGAATCTTTTTGCTTCCACAGGATCTAGTACTACGAAACAGCAGTAGCCGTAGCCATGGAGAGTGCAGAAAATACAGAGGAGGAGAAGCCGACTGTAAGCAATGACAGCACAGACAATGGTGCTGAAACGGCAACAGAAGAACAGCATATGGACTTCAGTACAGAAATTATGAGTGTAACTGAGATGGAACAGTCACCTGATAGTTCCCCTGACTTGAATGAAGAGAACACACAGGAGAGTGAAATTCCAAATATTGAAAGTTTACAGACAACAGATATTGAGGCTTGCTTCCCTCCAGATTTTGACAAGTTCTGGAAAGTAGTAGAGGACAATCCCCAGGATTTCACAGGATGGGTATATCTACTACAGTATGTAGAGCAGGAGGTTAGTACATGCCCCCTCTTTCCTTAGCCTTCCAGAAATAAACAAAGAAAACCAGAACAAGTCATGGCTATTCCAGTGACAAATCTAGAACTGTACATCAGGCTTTCCAAGACGCTGTTTTAAGACAGTTGCC